CAGTTCAGCTCAATCAGCCACTCTGATGTCCAAACTTGCTTCAGGAAATGTTGGTTGGTGAAAGCACCAAGAGACCTGCTGGTACCCTGACTAGGTTCTACTCAAGCTTCTGCTTCCACTGCGGTTCTGATGGCATCAACCCCACAACCAACACTGTTGTTCAACAGGACAGGAAATACAGAGGATGAACACACAGCAGGAAGTTAATGCATCCTATGAGAGAGAACACTGAGAAGTTTAGACAGTGGAAGCAACTAAAAGTGAAGGACAGTTATTTGGAGGTTATGGATTATCTCTGCTTTCCTTTTAATTCCTGGTCTTCCAGCCTTTCCACTTGCTTTTAAAGATCCAGTGTGCAGGCTGCCTGAACTGTGCTATCTCAGCATTCAGTTCTTCCTTCTCTTGTTCTTTTAAAATGATTCTGTCCAGTAGCTGAGCAGTGATCAGTGCCATGTACAAACTGTGGCTCAAGTTTTCATTCTCTTCTGCCAGGGACTGATTCTTCTCCCTAATAGATTGCAGATTCCTTGATGGTTCCACATAAATTCATCCAGGAAGGGGACCTTGATGGGCTTGCAGCAATGAGAGCTTCAGCTCTTGTACTTGGTATTTAAGATGATTGAGTTCGGCTGTCTAGGGATTGATACTAACAATGGGTTTCTATTTGATTTTCCTTGCTCTGTCTGCATAGTAAAGTGTATTTACTGCTTCTTCTAGATCGACATCAGCAGGACTCACCCAGCCTGCCATGAGGTTATGACTTTACTGCTTACAACATCTGGAAACAGTTGAGTCAATTGGAATTTTTCCTGGGCCCAAACCATCCCTCTGTCTCATTTCTGAGAATACAGATTATATTTCCCAAGCAAAGGAAGCCTCTGTGAAATCAATAGCTTCCTTTCAATGATCCCTTCTGCCTTGGTTTTCCTCTGTCTTTGTGACCCAGCAAGCCTTACCACGTGGGAGCTTCTACTGAACACTGCTGCTCTTTCTTTGCTTTATGGAGACTGTGCAGATGGCATGAGATCTGGACAGCTGCCAGTTCAGTGCTGTGGAGACCACAGTCTACTCCTATATTTGTTGCCCTGCCTCAGACAGGAAACAGTATCAAAAGCTGCTAAAACAGTCTTCCCAGTGAGCCCCCAAATCTTCATTTTTCCTTCAGGCTCCTCCACGATGTGTGGCTTTCTCTCAAGGTGGTCCCAGAAGATCCAAAATTTCTTCATTGTAAATCTCCCCTGCAAATCTTTCAGAGTAAACTCAGTCACTCTCCTTCCCAGTTTCTTTGAAGAACAGTTGCATTACCCTAAACAACCCTGACTCTTGGTTCCTTCTCTTGCTCTGCAGAGTAAACATGTTTTTACAGAGCCAGGTGGCCTGTGTGCTACACATGCTCTGAACAGGACTTTATGAGTGGGTCTACCACTGTATTGAAGACCTCTTCCTGTTCAGCCAAGGGGTCAAACAACATCAAAGGCAAAGGACTTGTCATTATCCACCACCACCTGAGGCGCATTCCACAACTTTCCCTGATCTCTCCTGGGACTAGAGGGTGACACCATAGCACTTTTACTGGAGTTCCCCTCACCTCTTCATTCATGATCCTAATTCCATGCCATGTCAGAGCAAATGTACCAGCTTCCCTGTGAGCTGCCCCAACCAAAGCTTTAACAGCCAAGATTCAAACTGGTCCTAAAGGTGCCAGCCAATCAGAGCACAGCTTAGGTAGTTACCATGTTCTCCCTCCTACCTGTAGTTCTAACACTCTGTCAAGATTGCTTGATTCATCTGAAAGTATTTACATTTGGCTCCAGTTTGGGAGGAAAAAATCTTGTTTGACATGAAATTTGGGGCTGAGGATTTTTTCCTTGGTATTTAAAAAATGGCACTCGTGTTCTGGACCCTATACACTTTCTGAATGCCAGATGTTATTTGCACCATTATTCCCCTCTGTAATGTGTCTTTCTTCCTCTTCATTTAGGATTTTATCTTTATATTCAATTTTCAGTAGTTTAATAATCATATGTTTGGGTGTAGTTTTCCTTTTCTTTGTTTGTTTTGAAGAAAATAAAACCAAATGAAATAAAACAGAATACAGTGAAACCAAACTACACAAAACACATTCTAAATGTGTCAAAACAAAACTAAACAGATTTGTGGTGCAGGAGTTCAAAATGAGATAAAAAGAAATTAATAAATGCTACCATAATATCTCTTGTTATCTTGAAAAATATCTTCCCATACCACTAGCTGTAGTAAAATCAAACAAAACAGAACAGAATAAAACCAGTCAAAATGAAACAGTGATAGCAATATAGGACTTCAAAACAAGATAATTGGAAAACAACAGTGGCTACCATAATGCGTCTTGTCTTCAGAGTAGCTGCCTATACCATCAGACATAATAAAATAAAAGAAAACATCATAGAATAAAATTAATCAAAGAAAAACAAAGCAATACAGGACTTCAAAACAATATAATAGGAAAACAATAATGGCTACCACAGTATTTTTTGTTATCTTTGAAATAGCTATCCATGCTATAACATATAATAAAACAAAACAAATAAAGACAGATAAATGAAAATAATACAGGGTTTCAAAGCATGATAATAGATTAACAATGGCTACTGCCTTCCCCTTTTAGACACTTCCTCTCCTACACTTTCACACTATCTACTGTGCATTTTGGATGCCACCAACTCCTTTAGTTTTTTTATAATAGGGAGACAACATGATGCTCACCCATGCAACTCTGAACCATTTCATCCATGAGCGTGATGTCAAGTTGTATCGACTTTAGCTACAGGCACCTTGAGATTTTCTTTCTTTCTTTCTTTCTTTCTTTCTTTCTTTCTTTCTTCCTTTCTTTCTGTCTGTCTGTCTGTCTGTCTGTCTTTCTTTCTTTCTTTCTTTCTTTCTTTCTTTCTGTCTGTCTCCTCCTCCTCCTCCTCCTCCTCTTCCTCTTTTTCTTTTTTTCTTTTTTGTGCCAGGGATTGTACTCACAACCTTTCTCTTGTCAGGCAGGCACTTATGTTGCTGAGGTAAATTTATGGCCCCAGGATTATCTTTTTTTATAGTTGAGTGACTTTTCATTGTATAAAAATGCCAGATCTTTCTTATCTATTCTGCAGTTGATGGACAAATTACCCCTACATTTTTTTTTGAGTCTCTGTCACATAAAGCATTGTTCTCTTTCCTTTGACTTTCAGTCTATGAATTTTCTTTCAAGTTAAATGTGTTTCTTGTATAAAGCAATTTGATGGATCCTGTCTTCTGATCCACTCTGCCTGTTTCTTTTTATTGGTGGATTGAAGCCATCTACATTAATGGTTATGGCCAACATGCTCTGCCACATCTCTGCCATACCATTTTCCTGCCATTGGTTGCCTGCTTTTCCCCTCCATTCAACTGTCTGCCCCACTCAGTGACCCCCACCTTCTGCTGTGGTTTCTGGAACCATGGTCTTTTTTTATTCTTCTCTAGAATGTCCTTCAGTATTCTTTGTAGGGTTGGTTTGGTGGTCATTAATTCCTCTGTTGTACTTTGTCATGTACATATCTTGTTTCTCCGTTAAGTGTGAAAGATAGTGTTGAAGGATACATCCATCTGGGTTGGAAGTTGTTTTCTTTTAGGATTTGAAATACTTCCAGATCTACTTGACATGATGGTTCATGTCAAGAAGGTTGGCTTGATTCTGACGGGTTTTCCTTTATAGGTGATCTGTTTTTCTTTCTTTAACGGCTTATAATATTCTGCTCTTGTGCTAAATTTCTGGAATCTTGATTATTATATGTCTATTTGTAGATTTATTTTGGTTATGGCTAGCTGGAATTCTATATGCCTCATTTATATGTGCATAACATCCTTTTCCCATGCTTGAGATGTTTTCTGCTATTACTTCTGTCAATAGATTTCTTAAGTCAATTGTGTTGACCCCTGCTTTTTTGCTGACACCTATTACTATTAAGTTATTTTTCTTTGCATCATTTTACAGCCATTGAATTTTTATTTCCTGGTTCCTTGTTGTTTTTAAGAGATCTTTCCTTTTGCAATTGTTAGCTGCAAACCTGTATTCAAGGTCTGAAAGTCTACAGTTTCATTCAAGCAGTTTTGCCAGGTATCAATGGAGTTTTTAATTTCATGGATATCTCTTTGAATTGTTTCATGTTTTCTACATCTTTTATAATGTTCATTCAAGGTTTCCCTCATTTTCCTATGCTCCACTTTTTTTTAATGTATGCCTTCTTTTGAGGTACTTAGTAATTCTTTTATTATGCTTTTCATTTCTTATTTTACCTGAGATAGCATTTCTGTCCTACTTTCTTTCATAGCCTCATGAAGTTGTTTCTTTACTTTAGTTGCTATCACTTCAGAAATTTCAGGTATCTGACTCCCAACTCTTCCATGTTTCTATCTCCTGGACCTGCTCTGCATGGGTTGTAGCCCAGAGATTGCTTTTTGCTTCTTCGTCTTGACATTTTATTGCATTCTTCAAGACATGTCGGTGGTGAGACCCTGGACACTTCCCTGAAGTTAGCTACAGTTTCTCTGAAGTGTGACTGCTTGGTTCTCCTGGCCAGTACTGGCTATGGGTATCCAGTGGCTGGTGTGGGGCTGGCTGCTGCTTTTCCCAGCCCATGCTAGCTACCCATAGTGGGAAGTCTGCTGAGTGATGATTGGAGTGTGTTCCTATAGTTTTCTTTATGCTCATTCTATATGGATTCCCTAAGCACATTTCAAAAGGTAGCATCTATATTCTTAAGTCCCTTCAGACAAATATTACTAATATTTGAGAATAAAGTTTGATTCTAAACATCTAATAAGAATAGCAGTCAGCTCTTGCTCCACAGCAGGTATCAAGTGGTAGGAAGGGACTCATTTACACAGTAACCTCCTAAGACTAGCTCAGAGTTGCTGAAGAAGGCCAGAGTCTCTGTGAAAGGACCAAAGAATGAATGCTTTTTGTTGAGACATCAGTTGCAAAGCCACATCCCTCCATGTAGAACTCTGAGGGAGGAGCTTGAGTCTATACCCATGTGACACATCTCTGTGGGTGTATTCCACTAGGAACTTCAGCTCAGCACTTTCTGGGAAATCAACGGACACCTTTCTAGGAAATCAAAGGACATCTTTCAAAATTTGTATTCTCAGAACTTTTTTATTAATCATCTGGGAGAGCCTGCTCCCTCTCGACCTAAAGACATCTGTAGAGACGAAGAAGACAGTTTTCAGGTGAGAACACAGACCTATAGATAGCCTGGGGACACTCATTTTTGTTGCCTCACTAGCAAAGTGGAACAAGTCAAAATACTTCTGAGAAATGTGGATAAGAGTGTCTGGGCTTCATTGTGTTGAGAATTATGTCAGAGGAAAGGCAGTTCTCTTGATTTGAAAATCTAGATCAGACCATACAAACTGAAAAGGGAAAGGAAGAAAGGAAAAAGAAAAGAATCTATATGTGTATACAAAATAAAACAGTTATACAACTAGCTCGTTTATTTCATTGAAAAGAAAATCTTGTGCTCATATTGTTTGGTGAGGCAGGAAATTTTGCCTGTATTTTTTACTCTGAATACTTAGTACGAAGATAACCATATGCAATGTATTAATTACTGCAACTGTCCTACTAACCTATTTGAAGCTCTGTTTCATTGTTATGTTTATCTTTTTTCTTTAAAATTTAAAAATGAAAGCAAAATAAAAAACATCAAATAATGACCATATGTGGGGTAGTGTTAGATCTGAGAGAAATTCTTGGCTGAGTAAAGTTCAGTTTTATTATGGATCAGTAAATAAATATGAAGAGATTTGAGTGTGTGCACTTGGAGTTGAGTGATGGAAAATGTAGTAACCCCTATCAAGAATCATTCTGCTTCAGGTGACATTTGACAGAGAGTTACATAGACTGTGCAGATTTTGTCCTGCATGTAGATATTGTCTTGTATAATTCTCTGGAAACATTTGAAAGTAGTCAGCTTGGAAAACTGATGACCAGGGAAATTATGTAACCTATTTGACCACGAAAAGACTAAGCAAATTCTAGCACAGAGGCTAAAATACAAAGGTGATGTGTTAGGTCTGAGAAGGGGGAGGAGAAGAGGAGAAGTCCGTGGGAGGTATGGAGCAGAGTGGACGGCCGTGAAAGTAGTGGTCAGCAGTGACTTTATTCCGGGACTGCGGGGAGGGGGCCCCCCGCCGCCGGCCCCGGGCGCAGCATCTCTGCACCCGGGGCGGGTGGTCTCTCCGGGAACATGGGGAGTGGAGCCTGGCGCGCTGGCCGGCGCTGGCTGCTGGAATCTGGGTCTCTCTCTCTCTGGCGAACTCCCTCTGGTGAATTCCCTCGGACACGTGGCATGGGGGAATCTAAATAGCCTAAGCTTAGGGCAGCACCCTAATGCCATTAGAGATGCACAGGTATCTCACTGGCGCACAGGTCCTTAAGGATGGGGATATAGGGTTACAATCAAGTGCATAGGGGGCAGGGGGGGGGAGGAGTTTAGCTGCAGCCTTTTCTGGTTACAGTGTTCCATCTGGGCCGGCAACTCTTTCATGATGAATCATTTAAATATTTAAAAAGTCATCTATCATGAGGTTTACAGTATGCTTCCTTCTGAGTTTCTTATATGTGGTATATAAAATGTGCACAAATATGATGAAGTAGCTACGCTCAGCACAGTTCTTCCCAGGAGTATTTTCCTCATAGGAATTTTGTTTTTGGCTGAGCACTGGCATGGCTTAGTCAGAAGTTCCAAAGTTCCCCGCCTTGGCCTTTGTACATGGTGAATGCTGGTAACTCTCCAGTATGGGCCAACTCCCCAGGGTTGTTCTGTCCAGGCAGCTGTAGCAGCAGAGCAGCAGGGCTGTGTTCTCTGGGGTCCTGTGCAGCTGTGCTCAGACCGCAGTCCCCTGTATACCTGGCAGTATTTGGATATTACTGCTTCCATATGGATTCTTCAAATTCCACCTTGTTTCTTATTTTCATGTAATGTTCTGAGATGCTTCTAGAAAAAACACCCAATTAGCCTTCACACATGTTGCACTTCTGTCTGGAGACTTTCTAAAACTTTGTTCTGCTCTGGTCTTTATCTCAATGAAGTATCTGACAATAACCACACTTCAATAGTTGGCCTTCAGTATACAGTTAATCCAGATTATTGGGCTGCTGGAATCTAGTATCTTCAATGGCGTGGTTTGTGAACAGCAGAAATGTATTCCTACAGTGTCAGTGTCTGGAGAGGGCTGTTTGCTGATTAATGGTAATACTTTCTTCTGAATTCTCATTTGGTGGACACAGTGTCCTTACGATCTAATCCCTAAGCCTGCATCACCATGGGGGTCTGGATTTCAACATACAAATTCAGAGAGGGCACAGATACTCAGAGAATGGCTTATTTCTTGAATGAATAGGTGAATCTTTACATTCAGCAAGCAAAAGGACTAAATAAATAGCTATGTTGATACACATTCTTCAAACAGGACATCATTAAATGTACATGTCATGAGTCTTTCAAGTGTATCAGACACTGCAATAATTTTTGAGAAAGAAGAATACAACTTGAGGGCTTCTCCTGAGGAACTGAGAAACTAGAAGACCCAGTATAATCCATTGTTCCAGTTTTGTGGTTAAATATATATACATAATCCTAGCAGAGCAAAAAAAGTGCTTGATTCTGTTAGGGTTTCACACCTCAGAGAGAGGAAACTGAGGAAAATCCACTGTGTGTGGAAGGCTTTGTAAGGCAAATAAAAACTAGGCTTTGTGAGTTTCTTGAAGGTAGGATATAAATAAAGACACCTCCAAGGTGCTGAAGTAGATATCCCATTACAGAGATTGTTCTGGGAAAAATCATGCTTCCCAGTCCAGCCATTCCCTTGAATTTTGCAGCAACAAGATCAAAAGGTTGCATGAATGTTGGTAATTTAGAAGCAATAGAAATCAAGAACTACCAGCAACATTAGGGCTAGTTCAGATTCTGTTAGATCATTGCACAACCAGTGTTCCAGAAAGGTCAAACTAATGATGTAATAGTGGAAAGGTCTTGAACATACAAAAGGAGCCTTTGGAAGGCCAGTGACCCTAGAAGGAGCCAGCTGGAGTTAGTATCCTGATATCAACAAGCCAAATTCGCTCCCCCGCAACAGGCTCAGGATCATAACAAAACAATAACTAAGAGGCAGATAGAAGGTAGCAGTGAGTAAAAAAGTTAGGTGAAAGGTGGCTTTGCCCTAACACGGTTTTGCATAACCTCAATTTGTGCCTAGTCACCACTCATATCTAACAAGCACCTTCTTAACAAATACTTCCATAATTATGAATGGGGATGAACAGTTTAGCTCATCATTTATGGAGCAAACAATGATGGTTTATGGGTCCATATTTATCCAGGTCCTGGGTAACCAAAAAGGACATGTGGGAGTCCTGTCTTGGGTGGGGAAGGATGGATTCTTGCAGTAAGCTGTTTCCAGAACAGGATGGGGCAGGAAGGCTTTCCCGATCATTCCTACCTTGCTGACTCACAGAGATGGAGCAGAGTTCAATGCTGTGGGTTCCTCAGAGAACTGCATCTGCTGAGTTCCACATTGGTCTTTACCTTTTGAGAATAAGGTCTGTGAATCTTCTGAAATTCTTATTCAAGTGTATTGTTGAGAATTTCATCCAGTATACCAATGACACCTGACTGTGGCTGCATAGAAAAACTTGTCTACAGAAGTGTGTGAGATCATGGGAAACACATGGGACTTGCATGCATTACAGTGAGAATGTGGAATAGCACATTCACTTTAGAGGAGAGCAAAGCAGTTTTTTAAATCACGTTACACATTCAGTTACCACACCGCTCTGGAAATATTCTCAGAGGGTAATAAACTCATAAATGCATACATATATTAGTATGTTAATCTTTATAATAACATTGATAATTGGCCAAACCTACAGACAACCAAGTGTCCTTCAACACATTAATAGATAAAAAAGCTGATCAATTCACACAATGCCTATAATGGAATATTACCCAGCAATAAAAAGATGTCCCTATTGAAAAATTCAATGAGTAAGATCTGGTAAATAAAAGATGCTAGTCTGAAAAGGCCACATAATAAACAATTAGAGATTTTTGACATTTTGTCAAAGGAAAATTGTAGAGTCAACAGCAAGTTAATGATTACTTTGGTCTCAGAATCAATGGAAGAAAAAGGAGTCGATAATGAAAGGACAGAAAAGGTCTTTAGGAGTTTGTTGGAAAGGGGGTGCCTCCATGTTAGGATACTAGTATTGCCAGTGTGTACAGCTATCAATATTCATGGAAACCATGCACTTAAATTGAATTTTACTGAGCATGAATTATGCCTCAAAGAATAGTGACAGTAGAACAGAAATACACAGAACTGTTTAAATTGCAGATTTCCAAGCCTGGTAAATCCATAAGACTTTCTAAATAAAAATAATAGTGGCATCTTTGAAAAATAATATAATATATGCATACACATATAATGGAAGTGTAAATATAAGCATACCTTACTAATAATCAAATATTTTCTTTGATTGTGTTTTTTTTTTTCAAATTTGAATTACACCACAGAATCATTATGCATTCTATGTAAAGACTCAGAGGAAAAGTTATTGAAATTTCTTTCTTCTTTTGTCTTTGATATCAACACTAACAGCAGTAACAGGTCAGCTGGTTGGCACAAACTGAATATTGTGCAAGCTAGGCACACTGCTGTGGCCTTAAGCCTAGCTGTCTGAAGCACCATGTGCCTATTTGCATTAGTCATGTGTCTTTAATGTTTTCCAGTTGATCTGAAATTCACCAGTGGTTGGTTAATCAGAAAAAACCATTAAGTACACTCCTTTAGATGAGAGTGAGGGCTGACATTTGCTTGTGCTGAAGACAAATGGGAATTATAACCATTGATTTCTTCTCCTGCACTGTATGTGTGGACGGAGCTATCACACTATACCCTATCGATATCTGCAAGTAAAATAGTTAGTGATGGAAAGAAGACCACTAGTCCTCCTAACCATGAGGGCTCGCTCTATCCTGATGCTCAGCTTTACATGCACTGACTTATTTCCTTGTCTCACTCACTCTTCGAACTAAGTGAGCATTTACTGCCATTTTTAGATGAGGAACCAAGGCATCAGCGAGTTGAGTGGCAAGCTGGGGGTCATAGAGTGGCAGAGCTGTCTGGACATGGATGGAAACTGAAACAATGGTCATGCATTCTTTGATAATAGATTCATTAATCCTGGTGTAACTTTACTTGTTGAATTCTGTGTGTTAAAATAAAAGGTGAAAAGAAAAATTACAGAAATAGTTTTGAAAGTTAAGAAAGATGTTGGTGTTGATTTCACAGAGAATCCCTCCTCTGCCTCAACCGATTCTTTCTTAAGGTAAGAAGTTTAGTGCGTGGGCCATCCACGAAACAGCAGGACCATTGCCCAGACTGTTAACCAGAACTGTTTATTGTATTTGCGCCACTTCTCACAATTCCCATTCTTCGATGTTTTTTGCTTGTCTCTTTAGGTTAAGTTACCTATCAAGATGTTCCATGTGCAAAGTCCACAAATGCTACAGATGCTAGAGAAATCTTTAGTGAAGAACCTGCCTGAAGCCATAAAGGTAAGAGTGGAACACACACAAGAGAAAAAAAGGACCACTATATGCCTATAAAAGAAGTTGGGGAAGAAAGCATTCAGCAACTATGTGTTCTGTGCTGTAGATGCTCTCTGTGTGGCATCTAATTTAACTCACATCGCCTTGATTCAAGAAATGTGCATGATACCTATCAGTTCTATAATCAGGATCATAGGCAATGTGCTGACTCTAATCTTGTCTGAGCTTTGGTGTGTGGTGACTCAATACATTCCCTTCTACTTATCTAAGAATGTGTGATATAAATCTTGAAGATTTCCAGAGTTGAAAAGTTTACTAAAACTAACACATTCATGTTTAATTCATTTTCCTAAATAGCCATTAATGTGTTCCTCCTGGATAGAAAGATGAAATCAGTCTGTGTTTTGTCAAATAGCAAATTATTGGTGTAGATCTGGATGAGTAAAATATGTGCTTTAGAGTGAGACCAATAATCTTGTACACAGACACACTTCTCTACTTAGCCACAAAGATTGAAAATTCAAAAACGATCATTGAACAGAACTGTTTGCAGTATCATTGTTGGAATGTCCACTCTACAAGCTTTAATTTTGTGACTTGAAAAATTATTTCTAAGATGGCAATATGTAATCCATTAACTAGTGATTTCCTACTGCTCATATTTTTTTCTTCTGTAAATCTGTATAACTTGTACCCTTTCACTGTTTTTTTTCCTTTCTCCTTAAATAAAATTAAAAAAAAAGAACGTAAAAAAAGAAAATTCAAAAAACAAAAGCTAGTACAACTGAAAGAAAAAACAAAGAATGGAGAAACTCACCAGTATAATTCTTCTTACAGTAATTTATAGAATCAACAGGAAATGTGTATGTATACATATTTAAAAGTCCTGAACAAAGCAAGGTGACACCTTAAACTGACATTTGAGTATCTCCCTCATAACACCAGAATACATGTGCTGTTCATATGCTTAAGGGATAAATCATACATTTTGAGCATTTTAAAATGATTATAATCACATTAAACATGTTCTTAATAACAATGGAATTAAAATTTAAATGTTATCAGGAAGCTTCCTAAATTTCTTCAAATGATATAAACACACTTCTAAACAAACCATCCTACAAGTTTACAAGGCAAATTTGAGTATTTTAAATAAATGAAAATGAAGGTGCAGCATAGGATAATTTGTGAAGGCAGATAAATTCTCGACAGCTAGAAAATATACATTAACTGCTTAGTACAAAAATTTAAGAATGATCTCATCTCAAAAGATTTAAGTTTTCATCCTAGAAACTAGAAAATGAGTACAAATTAACCCCTTAGTGAGTGGAATGAAGGAAACAGGAGAATGAGAAGCAGGAGGAGGAGGAAGAAGAGGAAGGGGAGGAGGAGGAGAAAGTAGTCAATGAGAACACAATAAAATAATAGCAAAATTCTATTCATCATGTATTCATCCAAAATCTGATTCTTGGAAAAGCTCAGTAATGTTGAAAACATTATGATCAAAGTGACCAGGAAAAAGAAAAGTCACATGTGAGTAATATTAAGAATAGAGGAGGAGACATCACCATTAGCTCAATAAAGATTATAAACCTAATAAAGATGTTCTTAACAACACCATGCTTACAAATTTCAAAAATTATTCTGTGAAATACACATATGATGAAAAGTCATTAAAGAAAAATTTACAATCTAAGTTGTCCTGTATCTGTAACTTAAAACACTCCTAGAAGAAAACTGCTATCCAGGTGACTTCATTACCAATTTCTACCACATGGGTGATTAAAAAAAATCAATGTACGCAGACTCTTTGAGAAGAGGACAAAGAAGGGAACATTACCCAGCTCATTCTATGAGACCAGAATTTCCCTGATGGCAAAACTGGAAATATATATTATAAGAAAAAGACAGGATATATCCATCAACAACACAGAGGCAAAAATACTAACAAAATACTAGGAAGGTAAATACCGCATTTAGAAAGAATAGCTAATCATAAGTAATGGGAATTTATGTTAAGAATTCAAGGTTCAAAATTCAAAAGTCAACAATGTACGCTGTCTTAGTCATTTTTTACTCATCACTGAGACAAAATACCTGATGCCCAAAGTTGGGAAAGGAAAGTTTATTTTTCATAGTTTTTGGAGATTTTAGTCTATAAACTCAGTTGGCTCGAAAGCAGAGTGGCATGGTGAGGCTGCAGTTCATGGCAACCATAAACAGCAAGGCAGAAACTGGCAAGAGAGAGAGACATGCATTTTTTCTGACATTACATCACATCCTGGTTCCACCCCTGGTTTGAATTGATGTTGTCAGTGGGTATAGCACTGAAACCATCTATCCAAGCACTGGACAATGAACCAATCACAAATGCAAAATGCAAAGGCATGAGGCTTGGGGACAACCAACATAAACCATGACATAAGTTTTCTTATCAATGAACTAAAGAAGAAAACCAGATGATTTTCTCCTGACAGAGAAAAATTATTTAATCAAATTTAATATTTTCAATAAACATAAAACCTCTTCAGCCTAGAATAAAATAATTTCTTTTAAACTGATAAAAAGAAAATATAAAAAGTTTCAACTAATATTTTACTAAATAGTGAATGATGATTTCTCTACCATAAATATTAAGGCAAGAATACTCACCTTATATACTCATATTGAAAGTAACATTGGATGTTCTAAACAATATAATAAAAGGCAGAAAAAGGGAAGAAAAGAATACATACTGGGAAAAATGCAATAAAAGAGTTTTTTCCCTCACAGAGGTCATAATTTTCTAATGTAGAAAATCTTATGAAATATACAAAACAAGCTTTAGGTATTAATAAATTGAGCTAGGTGATAAGATTCAAGGCGAAAATATGGAACAACAAAAATCAATTACATTTATAAGCACTAGCAATACAAAATTGAAAATAAAACTTAAAAAGCAGTGCCATTTACAATAACATCTAAAGAAAAACAAAAACTAAAGTAAAAACAAATCTTTAATTGTAAGACACTGTTATTCTACATTTTTTTTCCTACTGACTCAAGAATTGGGACTATTCAGGGCAACAGGAGGATGGTGTATTTACTGTGGTTCTGACTCCACAGTTAATGGTAACTGTGGTAGGAAAGACACAATATTACATCTTTTGTTACCTTTCCTGTGACCTTGTACCTTGGAGAAAGGGCAGTTACAGATTAAGCCACACGAGCTTTAGGCGACTCTCACAGGGCAACTGTTGAGTGGGCTGAGTCCAGAGGTAGATGTCTTTGACATAACTAATTATTTTCTAAGCAAAATAGCAAAAGTTTAAGCTCAGTCTCAGCATTTTCATGTGAAATTAGTAAAACCAGAAAGTCAACATAGTAGACATTCCCATTCAGTAGTTATTAAATCTCTGGTTAGAGAAAGATTTGGGTATTGTGGCCTGAAGTAATGGGTATTGTGTCTCCAAGGAATAAATACTGAGTAGGTTTGTGACACATGCCAAATCTTATTCAGTCAGGTTGTAGCAAAAAAAGAAAAGAAGTAGTGACTGCAGTTATATTTTTATATTGTGTATCTAAAAATCACCAGTTCTCAGTTCCAATGTTTAGAAAAAAATAATCGTTATTTCCACCAAAACTGGATTTAGTTGCCACATCAAGCTTCCTCAAATAACAGAGTATTTAGTAACTCCATGTAAATGTGGTTAAGTGAAAATTTCGCTTCCCTTGTTCCTTAGTCTGACTTAGAACTATTTTAAAGGAGGGACAGGGACCTTCAGACAGGCTGCACCTTATTTAGTGAAATGGTTTTTGCTCCATCGCCCTTTCTTGTGTGGCATCCTGTGGCTCCATCAGCTGGGAGATCCTGTTTTCCACTTGACCGTGCTGCTGTGCACACTGTGAAGAAAAGCTTGAGCACTTCTAACTTTGGCAAATCATCCTGAACTTATTCAGTGTTCTTCAAGTCTCTGGTGTTTGAAGACCTGATCCTAAACACCAAGAAACAACTCTGAATGAGTGAAGTTCTTTGGAGTTTGGTTGTTGGAGCCCAGGATTATACCACTATGATCTGTTTCTTACTAAGTAGGAAAGAGGCCATGTAAACTTTCCAGAAAGTAATGTGTAAATACTTAGAAGACAAAAATCCTTCTGAGTATATCATGTTTGATTTAGAAATTTTCCTTCTAAAATTTGTACTAACGGTAATATTTTCAAAGACTCAAGCAAAAATTTCCTTTCAAGAATTAGAATAAAATGTCAGATAAAACAGAAAAGGCCTTCAATTAGAGGTAAAAAATTTTAACATAGAGTTAATCTTAAATAATTATGAAGTGAGATTACACAGATTAGTATTTAATGACATGGAAATATGCCCATGCAGAGTATAAGAAGGAAAAATAGGTGTCAAACTAAATATATGAGATAATTTTGTGTAACAATGTAAATACATCAAAGAAAATGAAAAGGAATGAATGGTGCAAGAATGAGTGATTGATAATTTGTTTCACTTATGATTTCATCAAAACTCTGCTTATTTGGGAGATAATAAAATGTAACCTAAGGATTGGACTAAACACTGTAAGCGCTACATACCCTACTTTCAGAGGGGTGAGTCACTTTGTCACAGAAACGGAATATTGACCTTGGGCCCTGTGCTTCTCTTCCCATTGTGTTGAAATGGGACAGGTTTATGGGACCGTCTTTCACATGAACCAGGGGAACCCCTTCAAGGTAAAGGCTCTGGTGGACAAGTGGCCTGATTTTAATACAGTAGTTGTCCGTCCTCAGGAGCAGGTAAGTTGCCATCAATGGTGTGGATATGATGGTGTTTATGCTTACTTTGTAACACCAGTGTGGAAGGTGGGTAAGTCACAGGGAAACACAAATGGAGCAGGTTGATGATTGATTAGCTTTGTCTTCCAGAAGAGTTTGATCACAGCCTGTCTTGGAGAGGGTTTGAGAAATTAGGAGTGAGATTCAGAAAAACAACAAAACACTTGCACTTGAGGCTTCCCAGTGTAACCCTTCCATAATGACTGAGTGTAACAGCCACAAGAGATAGCTGAAGGTAGAGAATGAGCTACACAAATCCCCTGAAAGATTTAAACTCAGGCTGAACCGGACATGGGCCCTCCTGTTCATGCCGAGAAGTCAGCTCATGTTATGTTCAGAAATGGCTGGGTCTGAGAGCACTAGTATTGCCTCTAGTGGGTTTCTTTAACCTCTCCCTGCTGGAACTATTCAGCACAAATGAGAAGTCTGATTTCCTCTCCATCTGCCAAGAATAGAAAGTATATTCCTTGGTTTGGACTGTTGACACACAACATCTGGAGTATGGGGCACCTTAAAAATCAACAGAGCGTAAAGGTAGGTGAAGAAAACTGTGACTTGCTGGATTCTAAAATTGTGGATCACGAAGTGAAACCATTCACTCAAAAATACATTCCCCCTCCCTCTAGTTTTTCAGCTCTTTTTTTTTCTTTCTTCTCTTTCTTTGTTATTGTTTTTAAGAGTTCTATGAATTTTTCTTTTCCCCTTCTTTTTAAAAAACTTTTCTCTCTTGTATTTCCTACTGTTCACTCTTTTTCATTTTCTTGATTTTTGTTATTTGTTCTTTTCCAATACCATTATTCAATTCTATTTTTCTTCTTCTAATCCTTAGTAGGATCTTTTATGTCGCCTTTCTCTCCTCCTTATTTTCCACTGTTCAATTTTTAAAAGTAACCTTTTTCAATCTCCAAATCAACTCCTTTGTATCTTAGTTGTATAACCATTAAACTTTATTAACATTTAGATAGTTAGCTGTACATTACTACTATTGAATTATTTTCTATTGTAAGTGGGGGTGTAAATGTCACTTTTAGTAGATGATTAGACTATGTAGCCAATCCAAGTATGAAATATTAACCAGGCCCAATCATAGTTGGCTTCCAATAGCAAAAAAGTTCAGGAATGTTCAGTGTGGTATGACTATAGTGGTACTGTCCTTGTTTGTGTTGTCTTAGTGTTTATAACATAATTATTGAGTTTTTAAGAACATTCTAAGCAATACATTATTGGCCCTGACAGTATGTCAGCATTGATTTTGTTTTGAACAATATTCATTTTGTTGATATATTTGTTATTGCCTGGGTGGAATAGGTTTCTTTTTTTCTTTTTTATTTTTTTTAAATTTTGCTTAAGGAGCAAAAGAAAAAAAAGCAGAGAAAGGGTACAAGTTATACAGATTTACAGAAAAAAATAAACAGTAGGAAATCACTAGTTATTGGATTACATTTTGTCATCTTAGAAAAAATTTTTCAAGTTACAAAATTAAAGCTTATAAAGTGGATATTCTAACAGTGAGACTGCAAACAGTTCTGTTCAATGATTCAACCAAAGTCATTAATATCATTATCTATCTTATACACTTAAATATACATGCAGTTATATCATTTAGAGCACTTTCTTTTCCTCTCTTTTGTACAATGACAATTACACATTTTGGGTTTTGTTGCTCCCACAGTTCTTATTACGTTTTTGGAAGAGAGTAGAACCAAATGTGACACAACAGAACACTCAGTCACATCAAAAGGGTGGACTTAATAGGTAATGTAAAAGCATAACTCTAGGTGATCAACAATGGTTACTATATGCCTTCCGCTATCTCTAACAGAATTGCCTATATCGTTATTTATAATAAAATTGAACAAAACAGTAAGGAACAAAACCAACAAAACCAAAACAATGGAGACATTATAGGTCTTCAAAAGTAGATAATAGTCAACCAGAATGGGCATCATAATGAATCCCCCTATCTTCACAGCTGTTGCCTAAACTTTCGAACTTGGTACTATCAAGCAAAACAGAATAGAGGAACATCAGTCAATACAAGATGGTGAGAGCAATACAGGGCTTTAAATCAAGATAATGGAAAGTCAAAGTGGGTTACTATAATATATCCTGCTATTTTTAATTTATTTTTCCCTTAAAAGGATAAAAAAGTAAATAATAAAATGGAGATTGAGATAAAAGAGGGCATAACAGCAAATCAGCGCAGATCAAAACATAACCATTTAAGCAAAATAGACTTTTTAGTTTCCTGGTATTGTCTTTGAGCCTGCTTAACGTATTCTATGCTTTCTCTATTTTCTCCATTAAACAATTCTCCCCTCTTTTTCTGTTCTTCCATTCCACCATCTGTTTTTTCTTGGGTGGTGCTTAGCATTTCTCTAACTATTCTGCTTATGTCTACCTTCAGGTCATTAATAACTTCATTCCTGAACTTGTCTATGAGGCTCTCGAGATAGTGCTTTATGTCTATTGGTGCTGTGTCTGATGTTGCTCTTTTTCAGGGTGGGGGGCCAAGGACCCTTTCTTTTGCTGCCTCTTCCCATATTGTTTGTTCCTTATACATGCAAGCTTATATAGGAGGCCCAGCTTCCTTCCCTGTCAATCACAGTCCGATTGAATTGCACAGGCTAGGTGTTCCTGCCAACTGCAGCACACCAGGAAGTTGCAGACCTGGCAGCCTATGCAGGGCCCGCCCCTCCAGGTCACCTTCAGGTGCTGGGAGCAGGGTTGTGCTAGCCTATTGGGTCTCAGCCAGCAGCATACATGGGCTAGGCACTGCTCACCAATCCCGCTTGAGAGGGGGATTGCTGATTGAAGTCACTGCAGTGCTCTGTTCCCACAAGTCTGCCTGGTCCCAGAATGTCCTCTGTTGGAGTCTCCTCGACTGTGGAAGAGTCTCAGTTTTCCCTCACTCACCAGAGGTGGATGCATGGCTCCCCGCCTGTCCCGCTCTCAACTCCATTCACCGATTCCTGTTCTCAGAGCTTCCGCGCATCTCTCTCCCTGCCGAGCCGATGCAGACGCAGCCACAGTGGCAGGAAACCCAAATCGTGGCTTCCAATGGTGTGGGCTCCAGCTTCCATGCTGAGGCTTTATCTGTTTCTGTTATAGCACCAGGATTGCATTCCCAGTTGGTTTCTCTCAGCCCAGTTCATTCTTGGGTCACCGGGGCATATCTCCTCTTGCTTATGATTCCTTACTCAGCACCATACCTGAATTCTAAGCTGGGTCTTTCAGAGAGCCTCCATAGCTGCTGCTATCTGTCTGCCATGTTCTCCTGGAATGGAATAGGTTTCTTTAAACTGATGCTAACATTACATTTGCGTCATTAACAGTACTGAAGTCCATTCACAAATAGATAAAAGTTATGAATGTTAAAATAGAAACAACTTGCTGGAAGATAAAAAAGTTGGAGCTCCTCAAGACAGGCATAACAAAGACTTTTTGGACAGAAAGTTAATGTCACAAATAATCATACCGAGTATCACATAATAAGGTCATATCAAATTAAAAAGCTTCTGCACAGTAAAGCACACAATGGACAGTGAAGAGACAACCTACATAACAGGGGAAAGAGTTTGCAAGCTATTCCTTAGACAGAGTAATATCTAGAAAATATCAAGAGTTCAAGAAAATCCTATGTCTCAACATAAAAGACCCAATCAAAAATGGCTAACAACAACGAATCAACACTTTTCAGAAGAAGAAGAACAAATAGTCAGTGAACATGTGAAAAAGTTCAACCTTCTGGCCTCTAGAGAAATACAAGTTAAAAACAACACTGAGATTTCATCCCACTTTAGGAACTATGTCTGGCATTCCCAATGAAACAATAACAGGTTGGTGAAGTTGTGGGATAAAGAAACAATTCTCTGTTGTTGATGGGAATGCAAACTGGTACAAGCACTATGGAAATCAGTGTGGAGATGGCTCAAAATACTAAAATTAGATATTCCATTCAGCACAACTATTCTCCTGCTAAGTACCCTCCCCATGGATCCGAAGATATTTCAGTGATACCCTGATAGCTATGTTTACAACAATGCAATTTGTATAGCTGAAACTTGGAAGTAACCTGTGTCCATCAAGAAATGCATGAAGAAAATATTGTATTTATACACAGTGGAGTGCTAACATAAACTATAAAACTGAGGATTGTGTGGCAAAATGGATGCTTGTTGAAAACATAATATTGACTGAAATAAATCAGACGCACAAGCTTAAATGTCACATGCTTTTTGTTATATGAGTAGCTCAAAGTAAAAATGAGGAATAAAGTGAAAGATAATAGTAAATAGGGAATTGATGTTTTACAAAAGAGAAAGTGACCAAGTGATAGAGGGAGGTGTATGGGGATAGAAGTGGGGAAAGAGAGGCCCAAAGAGCATTAAGATGTGTCTGTATGCACACCAACTCTACAAAAAGAATGTGATTATCACATTTTTCAAAAACTCACTAATGTAAAATAAAAAATCAAACTATGAAGATCTCATAGAACTCAACATTTGAAATGTTTGAAGTATTTCAAAAGTCCATTAATTGAAAAGCCAAATGATTGAACCATGGCCAATTTTTCCCCAGAGGTTTGAAAAGCATATACATATGCCAAGAGAAATTAGTGAATCATGAAAAGTTAACAATTTTGCACCATCTCACTAATGTTAATTTGTAAAAATTTAAATATGTTGATGCAGAGGGCAAACAGTGGCTAGTTCAGAGGGTGTGAAGATGCAGGTGAAAGGAATCAAAGCAGCATCTAGAGAGGCAAGAAGTCTAAATATCTAATGTGTAGCATGAAGAATAGGGATGGTAACATTTTCATGAATTTGCTACAGATTTGGAGTTCCAGCTGTTTTTCACCCCAAAAAAAGTTTGGTCGTCAATGTGAAGTGATGGACCTGCTAATTTTCTTCAGAGCACCAGTCATTGGTTTGCAGTAGTAACTGTTTTATTAACTGTGTGTGCTTCCTACCATCGTGTCATATACCATATATATATACACACATATAGTAATTAAAATTCATAAACAGAGAATACCAATACGGAGAAATTTACATACATTTTTAAAATCTAAAAATTAAATCATATTTTTAAATATTATGTTTAAAATCTTGGTTGTCAATGGTAGTATTGTAGATTAGTATTTCTATGAAAAATTTTCCAGCTGTTCTACCCTTTCTGGATATTTGTCCTCTGGTCCTCCTTTAAATTACCCCAGCCTCTATTTCTTAAGTCTGCAAGTGTTTACTTGAATAAACTGTGTGTTTTGAATTAGTAGAATTCCAAACTAGTCTTTTAACCAGTGCTGGTTTGTAGTTTTTAAGATATTGTGCATCATCATAGAAGTTCTAGCACTATAAGGTTTTCTGCATCAATATGCACATTGTATGCAGAAAATAATTGGTTCTGGTACAACTTGAAAAGGAATAGTCTTTAGTTTTGCACCCACAGCTTGCCTTGGACAATATAGCTTTTATTCTTTCTCCTGAATAATACAAAATATGGAGGAAGACTTTGTAAAGTAGTGCACTTTTGGTTGATACTAAATTGCAATGCAACCCATAAATGGTTGACCAAGACTTTATAAAACATAAATCAAATTGAGCCCTTGATCTAGTTTTATGTAAATGATTGAGAGATAGTAAAAATGTGAAAACAATCATATTTCACTTAGCAGAGTACCAGTATGACAAAAGCTGGGTAACAAATACTGAAATGACTTGGTAGAGCTGATGTGACTTATTTCATGTTGCCAAACCATACAGGAGATGACCGATGACCTTGATCACTATACCAACACCTACCAAATCTTTTCTAAGGACCCCAAGAACTGTCACGAATTCCTTGAAAAACCAGATGTCATCAATTGGAAACAACATTTGCAAATCCAAAGTAAGGAAAGTGGGGTGTGTCCTGGCTACTAGGGTAGAGTCACCTCCCATCCTGAGCACCTTCCCCTCAAACTTTCACTTTCTTCTAGTGCTTGGTCCTTCTATTTGGCCACCCACACTGCACGGTGTGGGATTTAAATGCTGCAGGTAGGGTTCAGATGCCAGGAACTTTGGATAAGGGACTTTCTCCTTAGCTGAGGATTCATGGTGTACACATGGGCCCTCAGGGTCGCAGGATGTGTGAACAGAGCTTTCCCTCAGGCCTCCCATTCCTGCAGTAGTAACAGCAGCTCATTGTCCCACAGGGCTCCTTAGGGCCATGAAGTACAGCTGCTGAGGCTGTGAGTCTGCTCTCCCTAGTAACTCCCTAGAGGCTTCCTGGTTCAGCCTTTTTCTAAGCATTGGTAACCAAATGACTTAACTATTACTCTGTGTCTTCATTTACAAAAATCAGGATAATAAAAACTAAAACCTTACAAAATAGTGCCTGTGCAAAGATAAATTGAAATAGCATTCAGCTAGTGCCTTGGCAGAGATCATGTACAAAGTCAAGATGGGCTGTTATAATTTCCATATCACTCCTCCTTTGCACAGTAGCTAATAGGAATTCTGGGATTGTTTGTTTTACATAAGAGAAAGCATGCTAAGAGAGTGACCTGATCACATTCTTGGTAAGTGGCAATGAAAGGAGCCAGATTGTCTGGTGCTAACTCCTGCTTCATTCTGTGGGACCTCTCCATAACCTTCTACAGGGAGAGGAAAGGTTGTCCTTGCTTCTGCCCCTCTAGGTGCACAGTCAAGCCTGGATGAGGTGATACAAAGTCTTGCAGCAACTAAATTGGTCAAGGTCAAGAAAACACAGTGCATCCTCTACATGATGCCACCAACAGTAAAGAAACTGGTGCCCTCCTTGCTGGATACACAACATTTACATCCCAAATCAGAGATTCCCCGTATCATGTGAGTTTGACTATAGATGCTCTGCCCACCACACTAACAACTTTCATCAAAGTGGCTTCCTAACCTCATTCCTCGTACCCATTCCTGCCAACCTGCAAGTGATTTCCAGGGTGGTCCTTCAAAGCACCATTTGGATTCTGTTCTTCACCTCCTGGGAGCCATCAAGGCCTCTCCTAGCACCTTGAATGAAACAAAATTCCTTCTCCAGGTGCAGCATCACCTGCACCATCCCCATCCCTCTCACAGCTTCCCAGCAGCAGCTCTGGACATTCCTCTGCCACTCAGTCCCACGTGCTCACACACACAGGGATGTGGGAGATGTACTTGCTGTTTGCCTGCCTACACAGCACTTTCCTGTTATCTTCAGGCATTTCTTCCTTTTTGTGATCGCTGCTCTCAATTTCAAATTTCTGATTTGCTTCCAGATGTCTTTTAGAGTTCCTTACCTATAATGACTTTCCTTTTCATCAGTCCTCACCATAAACTCACATTTTGATTTTAGTTATTGTCCTTTTCCACATCTGAAAGCATCCTGTTTTTCTGCGAATCTATGAATTTGTCCTTTGAAGCCTCCAGAGTATCCTAAAGTCTCTGTAGGTGGAGGCATCTGATCTGAAAGCCTTGCTGATTGCTCTGCATTAGACAAGCACTGCCTCGCATCTCTTAGATTCTTAAAAAATATACATAGTGAAAAAATTCTCCAACAAAGAAAATAAGGTATGTCTCTTCTGTGTATTTCTGGCATAAGTAGGAATAGGGCTGAAAAACGATGTGCATTTGCCCTGCAGATGCTTAATGCCTGTGTATCAGTGTGACAGAAAGACCTTCAGTCTCTTAATGAAGTGTGTCACTGCACATCTTGGAGATGCAGAGTCAGTTAGAGCCTGATTAGTGCCCCTGGTTCTGTCCAGGGGACCATCCAGGAATGAGACATTTTTCTGTCTCCTGCCAGGTCAGGATCTGAAGATGAAGGGGCTGGTGCCCCCCACACACACCATGGCTGTTGAATGGCCTAACTGGGATTTGAATTTGGGTCTAATGCTACCCAGTCGGGCCCCCCCACCCCAGGGGTCTCTGGCAGCTCCATCACCCCATGGTCGGAGCCCTTAGTCTTCCATTTTCTGTTACAGGAGGCGCCTGGACTCCACAGCATTGACGTTGGACTTTAGGCTTTCAGTGTATGCAGCACGATGGCTGAGGATCCGCCGATGCTAATCTTCATGATTCCAAATGCTGACTTTGCTGCTCACTGGCTTTGCTCTGCAGTTCTGACTCATTTTCTGTTGAGCTACTGTTCTCATCTGTACAATGGGGCTGATGTCCTCTGCCTTAGCTTCTGTGCAGCTTCACAGTCAATGTATAAAAAATACTGAAGTTTTACAAATCTTGCCATGCCATTCTGATGAAACACATTGCTTTTAGACTTTTATAAAATTAAATCTATTGTTATGATTTAAATATACATAAAGATTATATTGATAATCAGCGAACAATAGTACTGCTAGAATTTATATCATGATGCTACAAAATTAGCATTGGGTTTCTTAGCATCTCATCTTCAGAGTATCTGTTCATTACATCTTGCATTATATAATCTGTTTCTGTAAATAATTTTTTTTTTGTCTTTTTCCTTTTTATCGGTACCGGGGATCGAACTCACGACTCCCTGCTTTCAAGGCAGGCGCTTATGCCGCTGAGCTAAACCCCCAGCCCCAGTAAATAATTTTTTTAAAAAAATGTTTTGAAACTCACTCATGTGTGAATTTCTACATATATATCTATCCTCTCTGTATTATAGGGAAAACCAAGTCATAACAAGACAGCAAAACAAATTCCTAGAAAAACATGCAATGGATAAGACATATAAGACCACAATATAGGTGATCTTCCATAGTTACTATGTTTATTCTTATTATTTTCAATAGATTTGTCCACAACACCAGCTTAATATAGTTAAACATAGTATTACCTATTTTTATAAAAGCACAACCTTGAAAGCATTGTAGGATTTGAGAGCTGTTATAGTTAATACCAGTGTGGATATCCTTTACATCTTGTCATCTTCAGAGTAGTTGCCTCCACTTTTATGGTTGATACTAACAAGCATACCAAATTAAAATAAAATCAGCCAAGGCCAACCCATGGTCCTATGATTCAGATTCAGTTAAAATCAGTCATAGTAAGACAATGTAAGTAATACAGGATTTCGGTTTAAGTTAATAGGAAAGTAAGGATAGTTACCATGATATAACCTACTATTTTTGGGTCAGATGTCTGTGCCCTCAATCTGATATGAGTGGACAGACCAGAACCAATTAAATTCAAACTAAATATGGTTATAAGACTACTGTGTCTTTACATCCTGATACACTATTAACAATAACCTCTGCCTTTTTAAATAGTGTTTCAGAGCTGTCTATACTAACGACTATAGCTTACCGTCTCTGCCTCATGTCTGCTACTCCACTTTTCTGCTATAATTTATCCACCTTATTCCCTCATTCCACTGTCTGCACCATTCATTGAGGCCTCTCTGCCACTGTTGCTGGAATCCTGGTATCCCTTCCTCTCTTTCTCTGGAATGTCCTTCAGCACTCTCTGTAGGGTTGGATTGGTGGCCACGAACTCCCACAGTTCCTCCTTGTCTTGGAAGCATCTTATTTCTCCATTAATTTTGTGAGAGAGTTTTGACGGGTATATGAGCTTTGATTGCATATTATTTTCCTTCAGGACTTGGAATATTTCTCCCCATTCCCTTCTTGACTTAAGAGTTTGTGTTGATAAGTCTGTTGTTATTTTGATAATTTTCCCATTGTAAGTAATCTTCTTCTTTTCTCTGGCTGCTTTAGATATTCTGTTCTTTTGGTGGATTTCTGGAATCTTGATTATTATATGTCCAGGCATAGATCTGTTTTGGTTGTTCTAGGTATCTGGTGTTCTGTATGCCTCTTTTATCTGGATATCATTTCTTTTTGCTATACATGGGAAATTTTGCTTTAATATATCTGTGAATATTCTTTGTATTTCATTTTTGGTTGCTCCTGCTTCCTCACTCACATTCTTTATTCTTAATTTATGTATCTTTTTGTCATCTTCTAGCCTTTGAATTGTTTCTTTGTGGTTCCTTGTTATTTTTAAGAGGCTTTTTTTTCAGGATTATATGCCATAAATCTTTCTTCAAGTTTCAGAAGCCTGTCTTTAGTTTCTGTCAGGATATTTTGCCAGTGTTCGATGCAGTTTTTAATTTCCTGGTAATCTCTTTGGATCAGTTTCATGTATACTAAGTTATGTTTAAATTCTTCTTCAGAAGTTTCTCTTTCTTTTCTGATTTCCTTAGTTCTTCCATCTGTATTCTCTTGAGTGGGGCTTGTCATTTCTTTAACTAATCTCTTTAGATCTTGCCTTACTTGGATCAGGAGTACAGCTTTAAATTCATCTATGAGGTCATGGAGGTATTTTTTAATTTCAGCAGATGCTGTGTCCAGTATTGGATCGTTACTGTGCTTGTTCTCTTCAGTGTTTACTTCTCCTGGGCTTATTTTCTCATTGGGCAGCTGGAGATTTTTTTAAAAAAATTTTTTTATCTCTTGTCATGTTTCGGGATTCCTTCAGACTGGAGTGTCCTGGGCGTCTCTGGCCCTCTCCTTATTGTTTAGGGTCTTTCAGAAGCATGCTGACATGAGTTTTTGCTGTCCTCCCAAATTTGCTGTTATCTGGGGCTGGCTGGAATGCAGGGGTGGTACAGGCTAGCCTCCACCCTCTGTGCCAGTCAATCGGTAAATTAGGCTGTACTTTCTGGATGTCACTGAGTTTTGCCTATTTTGTATCTGCTTATTGGGCCCCAAGTAGAGGCTTGTTGGAGCCCCAGCAGATCCTGCCATGTCTCTCTTTGCCAGAAGCAGCTGACTAATGTCACCGTGGCACAGGGTTCTGCCCAAATCCCAGCTGTTCTCTTCCAGCCCTCTCTGTGACAGGAGCACCAGGTCAGTGGGTCTGCCCAATTCCAAGATGTCTTCCACTAGTTCTCTGTATGATGCTGAAGCCAACACAGCAACAGGCTCTGCCCAATTTCAAGAAGTCCTCGACCAGACCTCTCTATAGGGGTGACTCGGTGATGTCACCGTGCCGTGGGTTCTGCGCAACTCTAACATGTCTTCCGCCACACTCTCTGTGTTATCTATGCCCCCATGGTGGCGGGCTCTGTCCAGTTCCAAGATGTTCTCTAGCCAACCCCAGTAGCTGTGGGACCCAGTCCCCAGTACTCACCAGGGCTCGGTGCAGGTCCTCCTCTTGAATCTACTGCACACCACGCTGCTTGCCCTCGCTGCGCTCCTGGCACAGTGTGGAATGGTTAGAAAACTGCACAGCGTTCCCCTTCTGAGCTCCAGAGCCTTACACAATCTCCTCTGGTGTAGAAGGGCAGTCCTGTGTGCTTCACTGGGTCCCAGGTCTCAATTTCCTGCAGTCACCAAAAGTCAACACAGCTTTTCCTGTTGGGTCCACAGGTCAGTTTGCTGCATTAAAGGCATGGGATTTGCAGCCTCCCGTTATCAGCCTTCTCAGTTTCAGCACGACTTTAAATCCTCCAGCCACGTTGTCTTGGTTAATAAGAATCCTTATCCATTCGTCTGGCCCTCTTCATGTTGTCATATTCTAGCATCTAATATGTTTTCTCCAGGGAGACTCTCCGCCTGATCCCCTAGAAAGCCTCCATTTTAGGGTCTCCCTCAGGAAACAATGTATTTGATATTATGTGCTGTTCTTTTTCCTTTTTCTCTGCAGTAATCAAGAGATGTTTAAACTCTCATCGCTGGATGTAGCTCACGCTGCCTTAGTGAATAAATTCTGGAGCTTTGGTGGTAATGAGAGGAGCCAGAGATTCATCGAGCGCTGTATCCAGACCTTCCCCAGCTTCTGTTTGCTGGGGCCTGAGAAGACCCCTGTGACCTGGACAATGATGGACTACACTGGAGAGCTGCGAATGGGAGCCACTGTGCCTGAGTACCGGGGCTTGGGTCTCATGTCATATATCTCATACATTGAGACTAAGAGCCTCGAAAAACTTGGATTCCCCATGTATAGCCATGTAGACAAAGCCAACAAAGCTGTACAGAAAATAAGTGATAATCTGCGTCATGTCACTATGCCCTGTGACTGGAACCAGTGGAACTGCATGCCTCTGTGAAGCTGTCTCAAAACACCAGACAGTTTTGGGGGGCTGTGATGTGGCTGGAGTAGAAAGAACAAATAAGTCACAAGCAGAAGGGAAGGGTGGGCATTGTTTTAGCTCTATGAAAAACTGCCAGTGGTCAGTGGGATGTCATGTTCTTGCAGCCATATTACTTTCCAGGTCTAGCATTCCTGGCACGGGCTGCACCTTTCTGAAATCACCACAGTTTTCTGAAGTGGCCAAAGCCTGTGTCCCATGTTCTGTATTTCTGGATCCTATTGCCTCCATTAGTCTCCTAGGTGCTGCTGTAACTCTTTTCCAGGAACTCCTGTCTCATATCTCTTATTGTCAGTTGAAAAAGCGTAATGGTTTGCCAAGATGTGGTGTCTTGTCATCCTTGAGTAGCATATAGTTTGTGTTTCTCTGATCCCTTTATTCACTGGGCCAAGTGTCCTGCCACTTCGGTAGGTATCACGAAGTGATTATTCTACTAGAAGCCCTTCGATTTGCATTCCGGCTTCATAAGCATGTTAATCTATGAAAATATGGCAGGGAAACCTATCATATATGTAAAATAATATGCACTAATAAAAATGAGAAGAAATCATGTTAAATACTTCACAATTATATGATTATAGGTGGGTATGATACAGGAGAAATTTATTTTTCAAAAATAAAATTTATTGTGTATAGTTAAGGCCCATAGTATGAGGCTGTGAAATAAATGGTGATAGGGAAATGGTTACTATAACAAAGCAAATTAAATGGTACATCATTTGCCATAGCTACACAATTTTTTCCATGCTCACAACAGTTAAAAATCTCATTTTGTATAAATGACAATTTCATCAGTTCATACATTAGATCTCTAGAGCTGTGCATTTTGTATACCAGCTGTTCTGTGTCCTCTGATTCACATTTCTCTCTTTTTTCACCTTCTGCCTCTCTTCTAACTAAACCACCCTTTAGTTCTCTGTCTCTAAATCTTTGAATCTTTGAAGATTCTTTTTTTTTATTTAAGAGGAAAAAGAGAAAAACACAAACAAAACAAAGCAGTGTAAGGTTACACATAATACAGAACTACAAAAAAAACCATAACAGTAAGAAATCAACTGTTAATAGATTACATATTATCATCTTGGAAATAGTTACTCAAATCACAGTATCAAAGAATACAAAGTAGACATTCAAACAGAGAGACTGCAAACAGCTGTGTTCAATGATCCAAAAACATTAATATAGTCAGCTATTTAACACCCCTAAACACACTTGCTGTTATATCCGTTAGAGCTCGTAACTACTATTCTTTAAAAAAATTTAGTTATTTCTTATGTTTATTTTAATTAAGGGAAAAATTAAAAAATTAGGATATATAATAGTAACTCTTTTTGATTTCCTATTAACTTGTTTTGAAGATTCTATATATAGTTGGGATCATATGATTTTTCTCTTTTGCTAATTCCACTCACCATCATATCTTCTGTGATCATTCATTTTATACAAGGTGACATGGGTAATTAAAACACATTTCTCCACTGTTTCTTTGACGCTTCTTAAAAAGTACATTTGCTACTTTGAAACTAACAATACACAATGCACTATTGTTACTCTCCTACAATCTTGCTTTGAAATATTGTAGCACTGCTTTTATTGGATTTTTTTTCTTTGAAGTAATGCTGCCCAATAAGAAAAAGTCATGCAATTGCATGTATGTATGGTGATTGTGGTGTAGTGTCCAATTGATGGGCTTTAGACTCGACTTGAGGGTTTGTAAGACACACTTCTGGGTCTGCCTGGGGGAGTCACAGAGGAACGTCCTTGGGGCCTATCTCTGTTGCAGATCCAAAAATGAGAGAAAGCCATGGATAGAGAAGAGGATTTTATTAGGGGCACACCTGCATCACTGGGGACTCTGGCTCCAAGTGGCTGAACATCAGACAAAAGAAAGGTTCCAGTTTCATATACTTAGTCCAAGACTAGGGGTGATCTTCAATCCAGAACTTGTGGCCAATGAAACAGGTTTATACAAAAGAAAACAATGATAGGCCTTCTAAGAAGCCAAATTTCAGCATGTCATAAGAGCCAGGTTATGGTGAATGAATCCAGGAAAACAGTTGTCACCTTTACCTGTATTCTTGAAGGAAAACAGATGATGACATGTCATAGACCTTGCTTACAGTCACATAATAGCAAATGTTATCCTGTAACAGAGTAAGGAATTACAGCTGCTGGGAAGACAGCATTTCTAACAAGAAAATTCATTATTCTGTAAGTCCTGTTTTATCTCTAGTTATCACTCCTTCCTCAGGAGCCCTGTTCTACTCTGACTCTTGGCTACCATGAAACAAGCAGCTGTGCTCTGCCATGCCCTCCTTCCATGATGCTTCTGTCTCAGAGACAGGCACCTCTAGGCTAAGTCACCTCATAAACTGAGCCAAGTGATGTCTCCCTTCTTTGAATTCACGAGTGTCAGGTATTGTGTTTCACCACCAGAAGCTGAGTAGTACACTAAATCTGTACCAAGAATGAGACCTTTGCTGTGAAAGTGTCTGACTCTGTGGGTTAGCAATGGAACTCCCTTGCAGGAGGCACTTGGAAATGTTGAGAGATATGAGCTAGACAAGCCCCAAAATGCTCTACACTGAGCTTGGTGGGAGATTCTGATGGAGAAGAGAGTGCTCATCAGGTGACAGGCAGTAAAGGTCAAGCTCTAAGATGTTTACAGGGGAACAAAGACTCCAGTGGCAGTTGGCAGAGAAATCATTTGCCTGACCATACTCTGGCAGAAACTGCCTACATTGTGCATGTGTCCCAAGGATTTTCTGAGCTTACTGTCTTCTTTACTTTCCTCCTGTTGCTGAGACAATTTTCCCAACACCCAAAAGAGAAACTGTTTATTTGGCTCCCAATTTGTAGAGGCTTCCATTTATAGTTCGCTGGTTTGAAGTTAGTGACATGGCAGAGAGGAATGGCAGAGGGTAAACAGTTCATGGGAGGCAGAGACAGCAAAGCAGCAAGCAGCAAACTGCAAGCAGGCAGCAAGAAGCAGCCACCCTTATTCTGTTCCTTTCAGCATATGCAGGCTTCCCAGCTCTAGAGCGGTGACACTCGCACCCACAGTGGGCCGCTTCATGCTAGCACAGCACTGTGAAACTATCCCAGAATCACATCCTGGATCCCTGAAGCACACACCCCAGATCCATCCACCTTGGAAAGACCCCACTTGTGGCCGCATAAAGGTTTATATGTACATAGAATCCATACCATGGACTACAACAACTGGTGGATAAAATCTCAAGACAACCTAATATTCAGGTTGTGGCATGGGCACTCTGGCTGCTTTAGTAGAGCCCTAGAATGAAAATTCTTTGCTGAAACATCAGGTGAAAAGCCACCTACCTCCATGTACAACTGTGAGGGAGGAGCTTGAGTCTACACCCAGATGGCACTGGTCAGTGGGTGTGTTCCTCTAGGAAGTTTAGCTCACCATGTTCTAAAAAATCAGACCAAAGAACATTTTTCAAAACCTGCATTCTTATAACTTTTATATTAATCTTCTGGGAGAGTGTGCTGCTTCTTGTCCTAGAGACAGCTGTAGAGACGAAGAGAACAGATTTGAGGTGAGAACCAAGAAACACAGAAGCTCTGGGGCTACTCTTTTTCTGTTGCCTTCTTAACAAACTGGAATGCTTCAAAATACTGCTGACAGATGTGGATAAGTATTGCTGGGCTTATGTGTGTTGAGAATTATGTGAGGTGAAAAGGAAGTTCCTTGATTTGAAAATGCAGATCAGACCAGAGAAACCATGATGCAGGAAAAGGTAAAGAAAGAAAGGAAAAAAGAATGTAATATGTACATATATACAAGATAAGACAGCTGTGCAGGGAGGTTTTTTATTTCATTGAAAAGAAAAGGTTGTGCTAATGTTTGGGCAGCAGATCATGCTTATATCTTATACTCTGCACAACTAGTATGAAGACAAAAACAGGCAGTGAATTAATTATTGCAACTGTCTTCATAACTCATTTTGAAGCCCTGATTTATTATATTTTTATTTTTTCTCTTTAAAATAAAAAAGAAAAAGAAATCAGTTAATGAACATGTGTGGGGTAATATTTTAGAAGTGGCAGAAATTCTTGGCTGAGTGAAGTCCCCATTTATTATAAGTCTGTAAATATATATGAATAGATTTGGTTGTGAGCACTTGGTATGTTTGTGAGGGAAAACCTAGGAGACACTGAAAAGAAACATTCTACATCAGGTGACATGTGACACAGAGTTACATATAGTTTCCAAATATTGTCCTGTGTAATTCTTTGTAAACATTTGAAAGTAATGAGCTTACTAACGGATATAACAGCAAGTGTGTTTAGGGGTGTTAAATAGCTGACTATATCAATGTTTTTGGATCATTGAACACAGCTGTTTGCAGTCTCCCTGTTTGAATGTCCACCTTGTATTCTTTGATACTGTGATTTGAGCAACTATTTTCAAGATGATAATATGTAATCTATTAACAGGTGATTTCTTACTGTTATTTTTTTTGTAGTTCTGTATTATGTGTACCCTTACACCCCTTTGTTTTGTTTTGTGTTTTTCTCTTTTTCCTCTTAAAAAAAAAAAAAAAGAAAGTAGTGAGCTTGGATAACTGATGGCCGGGGAAATTATGTGACCTATTTGGTCACAAAAACACTAAGTATATTGTAATATAGAGGTTAAATACAAGTTGACTAAGTACTCATGTAAATTTTTATGAAATCATTGATTTGGAGAATTACTGCATGCTTCCTCCTGAGTTTCAGATATGTGGTATATGAAAATGTACACAAATATGATGAGGTAGCAAAGCTCAGCCAAGTTATTCACAGATTATTTTCCTCATAAAAATTTTGTTTTTGGCTGAGCATTAGCATGACTTGGTCAGAAGTTCCAAACTTCCCCTCCTTGGCCATTGTGAATGGTGAATGCTGGTAACTCTCCAGCGTGCGCCAACTCCCTGGGCCTCTCTGTCCAGGCACCTGCAGCAGAGCAGCCAGGCTGAGTTCTCTGGGTGCCTGTGCAGCTGTGCATAGAATGCAGTCCCCTGTGTACATGGCAGTACTTGGATATTACCATTTCCATATGGAGTTTTCAAACTCCACATTGCTGCTTATTTTCATGTAACGCTCTGAGATGTTTCTAGAAAAAAATATCCAATTCGCTTTCAGACCTGTTAGACTTCTGACTGGAGAATATCAAACACTTGGCCTATGTTCTTTTGTTATGCTCAGGGCTTTATTCCAATGGAGCTTCTGACATAATCGCTGAGGGCCTCACTTCTGGCCTGCATCACCTGGGAGTCAGGATTTCAACCTATGAATTCAGGAAAGACAGATAAGCAGAGAACAGCTTATTTCTTGAATGAATAGGTGAATCTTTGCATTCAGCAAGCAAAAAGACTAAATGGCTGTGTTGATAGTGTTACCTCAAACACGACATCTTTAAATAGACATGTCACACATTCTAAATCTGTGTAAGACACTAGGACAATATTTGCAAATGAAGCACAAATCTTGAGGTCTTGTCCAGATGATTTCTAAAGCTAGAAGACCAATTGTAATCCATTATTCACAAAATTGTGGTTGAAATATGTATGTGATCCTAGAGAAGAAAAGAAAGTGATTGATTGTGCAAGGGTTTCACACCCCAGAGGGAGGAAATTGAGGAAAATCCACTGTGCAGTAAGGCTTTATAGGGGAAATAAAAACTAGGCTTTATGAGCAACATGGAGGCGGGATGTAAAGGAAGATACTTCCGAGGAGCTAAAGTGCATGTTCCACTAAAGGGATTGTTCAGGGAAATATCATATTCAACAGGCCAAGCACTGTTAAGTGTTTTCAAGCAACAAGACCAATAGGTTGAATGGAATATTGGTAATTTAGAACCCATAGAAATGGGTAGCGATCAACAGTATTTTGAAAACTTCAGATTCTATTAGATCAACCCCCACAATCAGTGTTCAAGAAAGATCAAGCTAGTGATGTAACAATAGAAAGTTCTTGAACACATAATAAGAGCATTGGGAAGTGAAATGACCCTAGCAGGAGCCACTTGGAGCCAGCACTCTGACATCAAGGAGCCAAGTACACACACACACACACACACACACACACACACACACACAGGAGCAGGAGCAGTGCAAAACAAAAACTAAGAGGCAGATAGAAGGTAGAAATGAAGTAAACAAGTTGGGTCAAAGTGGATTTGCTCTAACAGGGTTTTGCACAATCTCAATTTGTGCCTAGTCACCACTCACATCTGACAAGAACAACCTTCTTAACATACACTTCCATATTTATGAATGGGGATGAACAGTTTAGCTCATCAACTATGGAGCACAGAATGATGATTTTCAGGTCCATGAGTGGCCGGATCCTGGGTAAGCAAGGAGGAAATGTGGGAATCTGTTGTCAGGTGGGGAAGGATGGATCCTTGCAGCAAGCTGTTTCCAGAACAGGATGGGGCAGGAAGGCTTTCTTCATCTTTCCTATCTTACCGACTCACAGGGGCAAGCAAAGTTCAATGCTGTGTGTTCCTCAGAGAACTGCATTTGCTGAATTCCACATTGGGCTTTACCTTTTGAGAATAAGCTCAGTGAATCTTCTGAAATTCTTATTCAAGTGTATTGATAAGTATTTCATCCAGTATAACAATGAAACCTGAGTGTGGCTGCATCAAAAACCACTGTCTACACAAGTGTGTGAGATCCTGGGAAACATTTGTGACTTGCATGCATTACAGTGAAAATGTGGAATAGCACATTCACTTTGGAGGAGCGTAAGGCAGTTCCTTATTATGGTACACATTCAGTTATCACACAGCTTTGGAAATATTCTCAGTGGTGAATAACATCATACATGCATACATATATTAATACATTAATCTTTATAATAAATTATTGATAATTGTCCAAAATTACAGACAATGAAGTGTCCTCCAACACGTTAATACATAAAAATCTGACCCATCCACAATGCCTATAATGCAATGTTATTCAACAATAAAAAGACCGTCCTAGTGAAAACTTCAGTGACTGAGATCTCATAAATAAAACGTGTTAGTCTGAAAAGGCTACATTATAAATAATTTGAGATTTTTGACATTTTGTCAAAGGAAAATTGTAGAATCAAAAACAAATTAATGATTAGCTTGGGCTCAGAGTAAGAGGAAAAGAAAGGGGGGTTGATGGGGAAAAGGCAGAAAAAGGACTTTTGGGCTCTGTTGGAAAAGTTATGCTTCCCTGTTAGGATACTGGTACTGCTGTATATACAGGTATCAATCTGTATGAGACCATGCACTTTAAATGGTGAATTTTACTGAGCCTGAATTATGCCTCAAACAAGGATTACAACACTAACAGAAATTTATAGGACTATTTATATTACAGATTTCTAAGCCTTATATGTTGATAAGATCTTTTAAATAAAAAGAAATAGTGACTTCCTTTAAAAATATTACAGTATATGTGTGTAACTAGAACATAAATGTAAATTGTATGCATGGTTATCTAATAATCAAATATTTTTGTGATTTTCTTTTTTTCCTTCAAATTTGGATTATACCACAGAAACATTATGCTATCTATGTAAAGACGCAGAGGAAAAGTTTTATACATTTCTTTTGTCTTTAGTCTCTAATGTCAAGACTACTAGCAATACCAATTCAGCTGTTTGGCACAAACTGGCTATTGTAGAAGCCAGGCACATTGCTGTGCCCTAAAAGCCAGCCATCTGAAGTGCTATGTGCCTATTTACATGGGTCACCTGCATTTAGGGTTTTCCAGTTCATCTGAAATTCATCAGTGGTTGGTTAATCAGAAAACCCCATTAAGTACACTCTTTTAGATGACAGTGTGGGCTGACTTTTGCTTGTTTGGAAGACAAATGGGAACTGTAATCATTGATTTCTCTCCTGCACTGTATGTGTGGATGGAGCTATCACACTATACCCTATCAATACATGCAAATAAAATGGTTAATGATGAAAAGAAGACCAGTAGTCATCCTAACCATGAGGACTTGCTCTCTCCTGATGCTCAGCCTTACTTTCACTGACTTATTGCCTAGTCTCATACTGTGAACTAAGTGAGCATTTACTGCCATTGTTAGATAAGGAACCAAGGCATCACAGGGTTGAGTGGCAAGCTGGGGATCCTACAGTAGCTGAGCTGCCTGGATATGAATGGAACCTGTAACAATGGTCATCATTCTCTGAGAATAGACTCTTTAATCCTGGGGCAAATTTATGTGTTGCAAAGCTGTGTGTTAAAAAATGGCAAAAAGAAAAATTACAGTAATATGTTTGAAAGTGAACAAAGATGTTGGGGATGAGAGAGAGAGACCTCTACCCTGCCCCTGCCTTGTCTTTCTTACAGTAAGAAGTTCAGTGAGTGGACCATCCACGAAACAGCAAGACTAGAGCCCAGACAGTTAACCAGAACTGTTTATTGCATCTTCATCACTTCTCACTCTTCTAGTTCTTTGATGTTTTTCAATTGTCTCCTTAGGTTAAGTTACCCACCAGGATGTTCCATTTGCAAAATCCAGAGATGCTACAGATGCTAGAGAAATCCTTAGTGGAGTACCTGCCTGAATCCATAAAGGTAAGAGTGGAACATGCACAAGAGGAAAAAAAGAGGAGCTTTAGCTGCCTATAAATGAGGTGGAGAAGAAAGCATTCAGCAACCTGTGTGGTAGGTGCTCTGTGTGTAGCATCTCATTTAAATCACGTTGCCTTAATGCAAGAAATGTGTATCATACCCATCAGCTCTATAACCTGACATAGACCAAAGCCAATGTGCTGAATCAAATCTTGTCTGAGCTTTGGGATGTAATGACTCAAAGTATTTCCTGCTACTTCTGAGAAAACTGTATTATATAAATCTGGAAGTTTTCCAGAATTGAAACTTTGACTAAAACTATCATATTCATGTTTAATTGCTTTTCTTAAACATCTATTTATCTGTTCCTTCTTGATGAAAAGTACAAATCAATTTGATTTTGTCCAGTCTCAAATGAATAGTTTTAGATTTGAGTGAGCAAAAATGTCTTTAGAATGAGACCAGTACTCCTGTACTCAGAGACATGTCCTCAACCCGCCCCAGCGCCTGAAAATACAGGAAATAAAATCTCATACAGCTGAAATGAAAAAAGAATAGAATGTAGAACATAGCCCGTATAATTCTTCTTACTGTATTTTATGGAATAGACAGAAAATATGCGTGTACTTAGAAGTCCTAAACAAAGTCAGGAAACAATTTAAACTGACTTTTCCAAAATACCTGCTTTATAACATCAGAATACATATGCTGTTTAGGTGCTTAAGACATTTTTTCCCTGGATGAAGTACATATTTTTAACATTTAAAATGATTATAATGATGTTAAGTATGTTATTCAATAATAATGGAATTAAAATTTAAAACTTTTCTGGAAGTTCCTAAATTTCTGCAAATGATATAAACATACTTCTAAATATATCATCCTTCACTGTCACAAGGAAAATTAGAGTATTTTACTTGAATGTAAATGAGAGTGCAGCATAGTGTAATTTATGAGATGCAAGAACATCATTGACAACTAGAAAAAGCATGGCATTAATTGCTATTGTAAAAAAAAAAAAACAAGGATGCTGTCATCTAACAAGATTTAGACTTCCAACCCAAAATCTAAAAAATTAGTACAAACTAACTGCTTTAGTGTGTGGAATGAAGGAAACAGGCGAATGGGATCAAGGAAACACTGGAAGAGGAGGAAGAGGAGAGGAAGAAGTCTATCAGAAAACAGCAAAATAATAGCTAAATTCCATGCATCATCTGTGCATCCGAAACTGGATTCTCAGAAAAGTTCAATAAGGTTGAAAACACTATGAAAAGTGACCAAGAAATAGAGAGAATAGTCATAATTTATTAATATTAAGAATGAAACAGGAGACATCACTATTAGCTCAATGGAGATTACAAACCTTTAAAGATGTTTTTAACAACACCATGCTTATACATTTCAAATTTGTTGTGTAAAAAATATGAACATTGAAAAGTCACTGAAAAAGAATTTACAATCTAAACCTTTCTATTTCTGGAATTTAAAATACTCTGAGAAGAAAACTGCTCATCCGGATGGCTTTGTGACCAATTTCCACCACATGGGTGAAGAAGAAGTAGTGTCAGTACACACAAAGCATTCTAGAAGAGGGCAAAGGAGGTAATGTTGACCAGCTCATTCTAAGAGATTAGAATTACCCTGATAGCAAAACTGGAAATATACAGTGCAAAAACTACAGAGTATGTCCATCCATGAACACAGATGCAAAAATAGTAACAAGATAGCATGAAGTCAAACACACTATTTAGAAAAACTAGTGTGTCATAAACAACTGGAAATTATCTAAAGAATTCAAGATTCAACATTCAAACATCAATAATGTCACTTTCTAAATCAGCAAACTAAAGGACAAAATCAAGATGATCTTTTCTTGACAGTTATAGAATGATTATTTCACCAAATTTGATATCTGAATAAATGTAAAACCACTGCAGCCTATGAAAACAAAAAGGATTATCCTTAATCTGATAGAAAGGAAATTAATAACATTTTCAGCTATTATTTTACTAAATTCTGAAAGAGGGTTTCTCTACGATGGACATTAAGGCAAGAATACCCACCTTCAATACATATATTCACAGTAACATTGGTTGGTCTAGCCAATATAAAAGGCAAGAAATGAATATATAGCAGGCAAAAAGAAGCAAAAGAGGGTTTTTTCCCCACAGAGATTACGGTTATCTAATGTAGAAAAATCATATGAAAGATACAAAAAGAGCTTTAGCTAGTAATAAGTTCAGCAAGGTGACATGATTCAACTCAAATGTATGAAATAACAAAAATCAGTTCCATTGTTATGAACTATCAATGTTCAACTGAGCATGAAATTTAAAAAGCAGTACCATTTTCACCTAAAGAAAACAAAAACTAAAGGAGAAACAAACCTTTAGTTGTACAACTGTGTTAGTCTACATTTTTTTCTAATGACTCAAGTACCTGGACTTCTCTGGGCAGCAGGAAGTTGATGTGTTTAGTACAGCTCTGACATCAGTCTCTGCAAGAGCAACTCTGGAAATAAAGGCAGAATATTCTACCTTGTGTTAACTTTTGCTACTGATTATGTGCTTTGTTTAAAGGTCATTCATGGATTAAGCCACTTGAGCTTTAGGTAACTCCAAACCACAGGTGAATTGCAGGTAACACAGTGCAACTGTTGAGTGGGCTGGTCCTAGGTAGACATATTTGACATAACAAATTCATTGTTTTCTGAGAAACACTGCAAAATTTTGAGCTCAGTCAAAGCCTTTTCTTGTAAACTTGGTAAAAGCAGAAAGTCAACAAGGTAGATATTTCCATTCAGTAGTTAGTAAACCTCTGGTAAGAGAAAGATTTGTGTATTGTGGCCTGAAGCATTGGGTGTTGTGTCTGCATAGAGTAAATACTGTATAGGCTTGTGTCACACATCAAATCTCATTCAGTCAGGTGGCAGCAACAGAGAGAGAGAGATAGAGAGAGAGAGACAGGGACAGAGAGAGAGACAGAGAGAAAGAGAGACAGAGAAACAGAGACATACAGAGAGAAAAAAGAGACAAGAGACAGAGAGTGAGACAGAGAGACAAACACAGACTCCAGTTTTATTTTTAAATTGGGTATCTAAAAATCACCAATTCCAAATTCTAATGTTTAGAAAAGTAAGCGTGTTTTTCCACAAAACTGGTTACAGTTGCCATATCAAGGTTCCCCAAGTGACAGAGTATTTAATGTGGTGAAGTGAAAATTTTGCTTCCCTTTTTTCTTAGTCTAACTTGAACTATTGCAAGGGAGGGACAGGGAACTTCAGGATCAGGCTGTGCCTTAGTTGGTGACATGGTTTTTGCTCCATCGCCCTTTCTCCTGTGGCATCTTCAGGCTTCATCTGCTGAGGGACCATGCTCTCCACTTTACCGTGCTACCGTGCACACTGAGTGTGCTTTTACTCACAGCTCAAGCACTTCTAACCTTGGAAAATCTTCCTCAACTTATTCCGCGCTCTTCATATCTCTGGTGTTTGAAGACCTGATTCTAGACAGGAATGTAGAACTCTCAAATGCATGATGTTTCTGGAGTTTGGTCACCAGAGACCAGGATTATACCACTATGATCTGTATCTTATTAAGTAGGAGAGAGGCCATGTCAAATTTCTGGAAAGTAATGTGTAAATATTTAGAAGATAAAGAGACTTCTAAACATGTGATATCTGATCTTCAAAGTTTTCTTCTAAAATTTGTAATAACAGTTATATTTTCAAAGACCTAAGGACAAAATTTCGCTTCAGGTATGAGAATAAAATATCTGAAAAAACAAAAAAAAATCTTCAATGCGATGTAAAATATTTGAGGTAACAGGGAAGCTCGATGTGGAAGCTGAAGCCTGCCACAGAGATCCCTACAGAACTGTTCCGCCACAGGACTCTGCCTGGGACCTGGTAGGACCCTGCCCAGAATCCTTGAACACTGCAAGAACTTTTGGTCTTCACCTGGGTCCTGGTTAGGCCTCACCAGGCATCTTCCAGGTAGCTGGGAGATATTGCCTATGAGTTGAAGCTGATGCCAGAAACCTCTACCTAGCTCTGCAGTGGTGAGTCTCTCCTTGGAACCTGGTGGCACCACACACAGGTCACCTAAGAAGCTGGGGAGCTTTTGTGTGTCATGTAGCATGACCTAAAAGCCTTCCCAGTATACTCCACATACCATTCAGATTGCTACACCACTCAGAACATGATAGGGCCCTACCCAGTGACCTCAACCACGTGGGGTAATTCTGTGAGCCATTTGGGGCATGCTGAAGATTCACCCAGTGTACACACCCCTCCATCATGCTTCTAAGTGCCTCTAGGGACCTGGAGAATACAGGAAAATTACATAATGAAAGAACACAATGCAACCTCAAACATTTTGTGCATGCCAAATAAGCCTAGGAGACATGAACATACTAGAAAATGTAAATCATACACCTGAAACTTCTGAAATGATAGGAACTGGAGTAAAGAATGAACTCTAAGAAGCTATAGAGCAATTCAGATCAGAACTAATCTCGCAGGTAAAAGATGAAATGATAAATGTAATGAAAGAAATGCTCAACACATCTAAAGAAGATTAGTTAAAAAATCTAGGAGCACTGCAAAAACATGGAAACCTTGCATGAACAACATACGAAAACAATAGAATACGTGAAACAGATTTAAAAATACATTCAGGAAATAAAAAATACCATCAAAAGCTGGCAAAACCACATTAATGAACATGGTCTTCGGACCTAAAAGAGAAGATTGGAGATAATGAACAGTAAAGAAGTGGTCATTTCAAAATTACAAGGAACTAGGAAATAACAATACAACACTTACCAGATGATGTAAGGAAAAATAATACAAGATTGATAGGTGTGACTGAAAAAGTAAGTGATGACACAAATGAGAGCAAATGGTATTTACAGAAAGAATAGCAGAAAATTTCCCAAACGTGGAAAAGGAAACCAACATACAGATAAATGAAGCATATAGAACTCCAAATAGCCATAACCAA